AATGAATGTATCTTTGTGATAAAAGCATGTTCCATTTCTCAAATGGAAATAATAATCACACAAAAGTGTTACACAAGTTGGGGTTCCTTATTATTTTCTCTTATCAATATATATCCTTTTGAAACAATAATAATTCTATAAATAAATATCAACATAAATTTCTATAAATTAGAATTATAAATTTCTATAAAATAGTCTATGCACACATTCCCTATACTTGAATCTAAAGTGATTAAATAATTAATAAAATTCTGTGTTTAAAACCAAATGAAGTTGGAATATTCAGTCCTTATTTTACTAAGTGCTATCCTCGTTTTTATACTCTTAACAAGAGAAATTCGATCTAAAAATTACGATTTGCGTGCCCTCTAAAATAAAAGAATCAACCAGTGAAACTCTCAAAAATGAAAACTTTCAGATAGGCTTCTAATTAAATATGCTATTCTAAAACTTTAAATACACGATTGAGCAAAAATAATCACATTTCAAGTCAAGAAACTTTAAAGTAATCACCTTTGGGAAATTAGAGCATGAGCTTTCTTATGAGACTGTAGCTGCATAACTGTCTTAAAGTGAAAGAAGCTGTTTCCTTCAGTTAAGCCTCCAATTAAACTACGCTTTCACATTTATTAAATTCAGAAGCCTAGAATAATCCTGTAAATCTGATATGTTCCAATGAACTGCATGAAGAATACCAGTAATTATTAAATTTTTAAGATCTTGTTAACATTTCTGATTTTACTTGTGTTTCATTTACTCACAGAACCCATAATGCCGGATATGAATTTGAGAGGAGTACAGGCCAGGCGGGTCAGAGTCTTGCTGATGAGATTTCAGCAAAGGAGGAGAAGCTGATATTAGGATAAATGGGACTAAATGAATAATACAAACACAGGGCTTCTTTTCCTTTTTTTAAAATAGTATGCCATATACCAAAGTATATCTTATGACTTCTGAAAATCTCTATTTAAATATTTTAACTTACTGATTTTCAAAGTAATCAAAGCAATTATTTTTTTATTCTTGGAGACTATGAAAATCAGCCTCTGAGGATATTCACAAATAGTTTATTCTAAGTTGGAAAGAAAATGATTTATACAAAATCAAAACTCTTGTAGAATATTGGAAAGGTATGTGTATACTATGTGATAATATTCTTTAAAAACTGTATGCTTGGATTTACCTATGTGACATACTTAATGTCTGTTCTAGCATAAAACAGACAAAGACATTAATTATGAATGTGATTTCAACTAAAAAGAAAAATAAACAGAGCAAAAGAATAAGAAAACAAAGATTATCATGCAAAGTAAGTATATTACTTACTCCTGTGGACAGTTCTGGCTCCAAAATAATGTAATCGAGTCAAAATTAACTCAAAAGTATAATATTAGGAATTTTTTCTATCATAATGATAAAAAGTATAAACTTCAGAATTAGAGTTTATTTGAAATGTAATCCCATTTCTTACAAATGTGGCTATTCATTATAAACTCTACTTTAGTTGCCCCTTTTTCAAAATTATTTATTTTAACAAAGGTGACTTAAATAGACATTATATTAAGAAAGCTTAGCATTGAGTAAAAAAACTAGTATATGCAATATGTTTATTATTATTATTATTAATCACGTCAATGGAATTATAACATCTACTGACGTTTGGTATTTGTAATATGTATACACAAGGTAATTTATTAGACTAGTAAGTTAGGTTCTAATTATTTTAGGCTCTAATTATGTATGAAAAAATAAGAAATGCATTTTTTTCACTTGGTTTTGCTTGTTACCTATCTTCTCATTGAAAAATTAAGCAAACTCATTTTGTTTTTATATTCTCTGGGTGACCTACTGCTGAAGAGAAACCTTACTCTTCTCTCTTTTCAGCCTTTTAATATTTTAACAACAAAAAAATATTTCTCTAGTGTAAGTCAGGGGACGGGGGAGGAAGCGAGCTGAAGAGCAGGATGAAAAATCCCATCTGGGTTATTTTATTGGATAGTGTCTGCAGTTAAAAAAAAAAATTCTATAGGACTATGCTCCAAACTGTTAATCATGATTAGCTTCAGGAAGTACTATTGTTGGAGACTTTTATTTTCTATGTTAAATATGTATGCAGTATTAAAAATTTTGCCACCTAGCACATGGCTTTTAGAAAGAAGAAAGAAACCTATTTTTTAAATGTGTGAAGTAGTTCTGATAGCCTTCATTGAGAATTTAATAGAAAATTTGAGCAGTTCTGGATAATCACTACTGGACTTCCTGAACTTCAAGGAAACTTTCCTACAGAGTAGCAAAAAGACTGTGGCTTACAGGAATATAAGTGGAAGTGAGTATGAAGGGTCTCATTAAACATTTCATATATCTGGAAGGAGTGGGGATGAGTAAGCAGTGCGGTAGTGGCAGCTAAGTCTGTATGTCACGAAAGGGCTGAAACAGCGTTTCAGGTGCTATATGAGATAGTCCGGAAAGTAAGCTCAAGCCATCCTCTTTCCCAGGTTATCCTAGGCAAGAGAGCCTAGGCACTGCAAATAATGAGGCTGTGGCCCACTGGCTCTTATTACCACACAAACATGCAGAGGAAATCAGTGCAGAGGCTAAGCTCTCAGAAGTAACTATCTCACTTCCCTCAGATGCTTAGATACACAAGAGAGCAGATGAAAATCACGATACACTTGACCTTGTTATTTTTCCATTCTTTGGGCATGAGAATTAAATAATAATCTATGAGCTTGCTCAGAGAATCTGTCTTAACCACCAGTACTAGACAAACACAAGGTTTCCTGTTAAAGAACATACGGGGGCAAGTGGGCAGGGTTCTGGTCACACCACGTTTGACTCAGTCATACTAGTTTTTTGTTTTATTTTTACATGCAAGTCTTCCAAGGAAATATATATTTTAAACAAAGTGCTCACAGATTAAAAGTATTTAAAAAGAAATCAAATATCTTGTTCACACTGATGAACTACTGAATTTCAGGAAAATGGGAAAAAATCCCCCAAGTAAGAGGCAACGAAAAAGAAACACAATCATAAAAGTTTTCCAACAAATTGAAAACATTCAATTTGGCCTCAGGTTTGTAAAACATAGTAGTACATGTCGGAAAACAGAGCCATGATACCCACAAGAGTATTGACAAAAGAACGTTTTGACTCAAAACTTCTATATCCAGACAGTTTGTTCTTTTAATGTGTATTCAACAGAAAGATACACTTTTAGAGTAATAAGGTTTACCTTGTTGACAAACCCAATGAACAACAGGTGATAAAAAATTGAAACAAAATAAGGTGTAAAATAACTTTTTTTAAAAAATGAGAAGCATAACCATATAGCTCATTATCTGAATAGTTGTTATAATAGATACAAAATATAATTGCAAATCTCAAAAATAATTCTTGAAAAAAGAACACAATGGTCAGAGTAAAAAAAAAAAAATCTGAATCTAAATCCCATGTAATTCCTAAAATGACTTAGAATTAATAGGGCAAGTTGGACTATAAAGAAGTCAATTTTTGTTTAATTCTCATGGAACATCAGAAATTACCTCTACATATCAGTTTGTTTCTATTATACACAGAGAAATATCATGTTTAATATCTTAAAATAATCGATAGAAGAAAAATTACACATACTTTTAAAAATATTAAAAAGAAACAAAAAGAATAAATATTTTGATAAATGAAATTTATGTTATGCATGTGCTTAAAAATTCCCTTTTAAGCAAATAATCTCACAGTGAATCCAAAAAATAAAAGCCAACTTATAGTATCAATCCCTGTACTTAATCCTTTGTATCTAAATAAACATTAAGTGTAATTAATAGTAACAGCAAACATTTACGTAGCATTCACTATGAGCCTGGCACTATTATGCAAACAAATATTTTGACTTACTTTATCCCAAATGACCTTTCAGGTCAGTAATCCTATCCCCATTTTACAGGTGAGAAAATGCTAGCCAGCCCAGAAAATGAAAGGATTTGCCCAAGGAAACAATACTGCTAACATTTAGATTTGAACACAGGTCATCTGGCTCCAGAACCCAGGCAGCTCTGGATACACTCTACAGCCTTTCTAGTTAAGGGGAATTATAAGAAACACACTTTTAAAACTCTCAAATGGTTCTGTCTCCTCACCATTTGCTTATATGAGAAGGCAGAGAGGCCTGCGAGGAGTGGGGAGGGGGGTGTGGGTGTGGAGGTTAGAGAATGGATAACATCGAAGACCAGAATCATGACTGAACAAAGGCCCTGCTTCCTTGGTCACAGCTGGTCTTCAAAAACGATTAGACTATCCTTAGGGGAATTCCTAGTTAGAATAGTGAGGCTCTGTCTTTATTAATACAGAGAGACATCACTGACAGAGCTTCTTCCCTGTATCTTCCTGAATAACTTATTCTCCTCCCTTCCTCGCAGTGAAGCTTCTCAATCGTCTTCATTCGGTGATTTTCTATTTCTTCAGGGCTATTGTTTAATCCTTTCCCCAACACCTCTTTTTATCTTGAGCCCACAATACATGAGGAGGGAAGTATCTTTTCCTGTCTGCTAGGGTAAGCCAGAGAGAGACAGAGAGAGAGAGAGAGAGAGACTGAAAAACACAACGGAAGATGTGGTGACAACTGGCGAGTCTCAAATGTTCATCTCTCTTCCTTATCGGTTTGTGAGTTTGTGTAAAAATATTCATCTGCATTTGTTTACATGTGTGCACTTGTGCTACATAGTTTTGAGTTAAACAATATATCTATTATTTACTAAACAATAGAGTAGAAGGACATCTCCATGGGTACAGACTCTCCTATAAATATTTATGTAATAAGGCCATCTGAACATAAACTACTCATGAAAATCAGATTTCCTTTTTTACACAAATCAGACTTTACCACACTCTTGAATGGCACGTAAATAACACAGTATCACAGTTGTTCCATTTTATTTGTTTTCAAATAGGAGACACATAAGATAGATGAGAACATGGTATTCTAACATTCACATTCTTTTACTTACAGCCCTCATAGATGTCCGTGGGAATATGGACTGCTGCATGCTGATAGGATATTTGTCGTCCAAAGTTAGCATCATCGATAAAAACAGGTTTTATCCTCTGACTGCCTGGCTCACTGTCATTTTTTTCAGGCTATACAGGAAAAGGCAGACAACAAAGAGAATATTAAAGCTTATGCTAACACAGATATTCACACATCCATGTCTTCATTTGCCAAATGCATAGTTTTCAAAATATAGAACTAAAGGAATATTTTAAAATTAAATACCCCGATGACATCAGGTGCACAAATTTCCATTCAGGTATTAACATTCATATTACATCTTCATGATATTATTCACATTATAAACTAAATTCTCGCCTACTTTTATCAATGTTAGAATCACTCCTCAGGAATATTCTGAGAGAACCGGAGTGTAATCACAACCGGTATTTATTAAAAGATACATTTAAAAAATATGGTGTGTGCCTTTAAAGACAGCCCAATTAAAACTATCCCCTTGAAATAAATTTCACAATTTATGTTAGCAAATTTCTATTTTGTGATTGAGGATAATTTTGTGTTTGGTAATTAATGATACACATGACCACAATAAGGTAGCAATGAAGGATTATTTTATGTCATGTTCCCTTAACTTGCATGTTTTCCAGGTGTATCAATTTTTCTGTTAAAAAAGAAAGAAAATGTCTATTGTAACTCTAAGTATAATTAAATCCTAACTTCAGCCAGTTTGTCTCCCATGCTAGAAGCTTAGATCCAATCAATAACAATTCAAGAAAATCCCATAGGAGTTTAAGGTTGAAGATTCATTTTTTATCTCTTTGAACTATGCTTTTAATACTGAATTACCTGTTGCCTTATCTGGGCAATAAACTAAGAATCTCACTCATTTATTCAAAATGCATCTCCAAAACAAGTGTTTTTGGCTAATTACATTAAACCTTTTTTTTTCCTGTTCAAATATAGTTACTTTTACTCTTCCCTAACTCATTTTTAAAATTAATTTCAGACCTGTATTATCAAGTCTATTTTAGAGATTACTGTTTTCCATATTCCTAAGATTATCTCCTCAAAACAAAACTGAAAAAAAAAATCACAACATTTGACTACGTGGCAGCACAATGCAGTTAATACAAATGATAACAGAAAGCACTTCAGTGGACAACTAGAAAATTTCATAAGAAGGCTGGGAGAATGTCCAACAATATAAAGTCAGCAGGTCAATAAAGAAGTGATAATGTTCAAATTGCCATATTGCTCTGAAAATTGATATGACCAGATAACAGCCATATCCTGATATTTTAACATGCATGTGTGCCGGTATTATTTTTTTCCCTAGGGGAATTGCAACATTGGAAAGATTAGTTAGATACAAATATGAGCAATTCTTTTTTTTTTCTTTTCAACAATGGCTTCTAAAGCCATTTTCTGACCCATCATTAGGTTATAGAATGTTTAATAGGTCATGATCAAATTATTTTTTAAATGAAAACATTAATAAAAGAATATGAAAATACGCTCTTATATAAAGAAAACTATATTGTGAAACCTCTGGTTTAGTTACATATGACTGCGCATGTGTATATGTGTGCACATATGGGTATAAGTGACTTGAATCGTAAAATTTGCCATTTATAAACATATTTAAAAACAGATCACTATTTTTATTCATGTGAAACCACAAAGATATAATTGTTCCTCCATTAACAAAATAACAAAACAGTAATGTTGAAAGCCTAAAATTTAGCAAAATACCTACATGCAGAAGTCACAACTCATACTCACAGACGTTAGGTGTGTGCAATGTGAAGGATAAGAAAAGAGAGAAGAAAGATTACAAGGAAAAGGGAAACCATAGAGCAAAGAACGCTTAGCCTAACATCTGTTCTGATTGCAACTGTTAATAAAGAATGAAAATGATAACTGGGATTCAGTCTTGGATTCAGCTGTGAATTTTAACACATTTTAAAATTCATACCCTATTCTATGGTGTCTATCCTGGGTACTGTTGACTTGAATAAGATAAAGGCACATTCAAACAAACTACTTTCATTAATAACATGAATATTAAAAAAGTGGGTCCATCTTATGGATGATGTCATTATTCTCAGTGAAAAGTCTCAACATTTATTTTAAAGCAGTGGTCTCTCAAAGTGTGGTCCTTGGAGAAGCAGCATCGGCATACACGACATTTTTTAGAATGCAGGCTCTCAGGCCCCGCCCCAGACCGAGTCAACCAGAAACAGCTCCGGACGGGCCAAGAAACCTGTAGCCTAACAAACCCTCCAGGTGGTTCTGATACACACTAAATGCAGAAGTTCAGTGCTTTAGAATACGAATAGTTTAAATTAGGCATACTTTTTTTTATTGGTTAGAACTACCCATGAAAAAAATAGTTTTGATTAGTAATAAGCATATTAATGGATGCCTAAATGTTTATACCCTCCACACATAACACAGTTTTAGTGTTTGTGAATAGAAGCATGCACATGGTAATATGACAAGTAATATCTGTCAAAGGACGCTTCAAAAGACAATGGTCATTCAAGATACTCTAGTGGTTAACTCCATTCTGAAATAAGTTGGGAAAATGCTGCATGTTATATTTGTCTAATATAACATAGCACATTGACATATCAAAGGCTCTGACATAAGTTTCACTAAAGAAAACTGTATTTAACCCAGCGTTCTCAAGCTTATACAACCCTGGAGCTTTCTTTCTTTCTCTCTCTCTCTTTTTTTTTTAACATAACACCTATTACAAAGAACATATATTACTTACAAAATGCCATGAAATGGGATAATGGCAAGTATAGACGTCAGACTTGGTTCTACTCTGTTGCATTAACAACATCTCAGGCTTGGGCCAGTCACTGTTCATGGGCTTCTGTCTTTTGACTTATAAATAAATGATGCTGGGCTACAGGTGTGGTCCTTACCTTTGGGGCATATCAGAATCACCTGGGGAGCTTCTTCAATCACCAATGAAGCAGTGTATCACAATGGGGAGCATGTCTTTTGAATGAATCTCTGTTGCTTCTAATAGTCTCCCCTATGTTAAATTAAAAACTCTCAAACTAAAAAAAAAAATCTATAAGGTCATTTTTATTTAAGAAAAAAATTATAGTTCCATTTATTAATAATTTTAGAAAATAAATTTTTTTGGTACGCATCTTTTCCAGAAATCCTGTTTACATCTATTTCTATGAAATTTTAGATATTCCATGAAAAGTAGAAGGATTAGAGGACAGATAATAGACCGTGAACTCTATGTATGACTTAGGGTGAGGAATATGTAGATATGTGCAAATATTTCATTCATTCACTCCAGAATATTGGCAGAGTGGAGGAGAGAAGGATTTACTGATATTAATATTTATAAAAATGCCATTTAAAATCTAAATCTGGAAACAAATTAAATATCCAGCAATAGTAAAATGGTTACAACAATTATGATACATATAAAAGAATAATCACATTGAGAATATACATATATGCTGTAATTTTAAAAGTGATTTAAGTCAAAAAAGTAAATGTTAAGCTAAAAGAAAAAAATTTTTTAAAGGCCTATCTATTTTGAGAGGAAAGAGAGATAAAGGGATACATGCAGGGATGATTACATAGCAAATGCTCTCAGCACTAAGGTTGGTTTCGTAGTTATGAAATATAACTGTATTCATCTTTGTGTTCTCTTGGTTTTTTTGCAATAACACAATGAATACATATGATATTTGTAATCAGAAAAATATTAATTTTTGTTTTAAATCCTTTCTAGAGTGCTATTAAGCATTATATGATTATCTTACTAAAGTGAAAGTTGCTTATATTTCCTCTGAATCCTCTCACACCTAAAAATTATAAATTTATATATATTTTATGGAGATCCTTGCACTTTTAAATTGCCATATAAAGGACTTTTGTAAATAACTTTGCAATGATAATGTACTTCTTAACTTGTAGAATCATGTATGAGGACTGGATTTAATGTGCAGTTGCTAAATATAATAAGAAACACTAATATTGCAGCTCCCCAAGGTCCTCCCTTTTATAGTCTCCTTAAATTGTAATAATTTCATGAAAATATTAGAATTTTTAAATGTAACTCACTTAGTTCATCAAACTTATGAAATTATTGTTTCTGATACCATCACAGTCCATGTCTTTACCTATCTTGATATATTATGTCATTATATAGTATAATTAAAATGCAGCAAATATTAGAAACAAAGAAATTGATTGAGAAAAAGAATTTTGAGAAAAGCTACTTAGCATATATTACTTAATGTGTTAATTAAAAATTTCAAATAAATTCTCATCCTGGAGTTAAGATTTCCTTGTTCACCAGACCACATACCAGATAAAAATCAGTTTGCACATCTCTTTTTAACATTTTTCTCCCCAAAAAACTATTTTGAATTTTCCAAACTTCCCTAAATAAATGTGTACTAAGAAACCAAACAGGTTGATTCTAAATGTATTTAAATACACTTGGTAAAACACATTTGTGAAACATAAGAAGCATGTTTCTCAGACTATTCATTTCACTGTAATTTCAGTTATTAAATAATAGATTAGGTCACTCAGAGACAGCGATACAGGCCAATGTTGGATGGGTAGGTCATGCAATTTTACAAGCAGTGCATATTAGCAAATTTAATTTGGAAAGTCACAATGATAAGTCTGTGAAAGAGACAAAAGGTTCTCGCATATTTAATATACCTTAAAGTAAATACTCTTAGAACTGATACTTATAATAACACATTTGTTTTTAATTTTTATATTTTTCATGTTATTGACTTAAAACTATTTGTACTGAAAGTAAAATGTTCAGAAATTAAAT